CTATTTTAGTACTAACTGAAAATTCAGAACCAAAAGACCACTTAATTGTTAGCCTACTGTGTCCAAGCTTATTTTCTTAAAGGGCTGTTGTAAGTACATGTAATGGAGAATCAGGATCATCAGTCCCAGACCCACACTGACTACCTGCCCAGTATCATTTGTATGCAAATTTTGTCAATGCCAACTATTTTAAACAGCTAATTGTTGGGGGTGGAGGGGTTAAGGAGAATTGGGATCAGTACACCAGCTGCATGATTCTTCCATACAAAACATGCATATTGGATATGAAAATACAACCAAGTAAAAATACAGGTTATATTTAACTAAATTAGCTCCCACAAAATATCAATTTCCAAACAGGGTGGTGGTATTATGAAATTTCTTTGAAAGTATTATGATATTCATGATGAACTTGGATTTTAGTACCGGCCCTGCTAACCTGTATACATTCTTTTAGGGTGGTTGAAATGGGTTCATAACTGTAAGCCATATCATGACATCTAATAATGATTAGAGAATAATGAACAATTTGTGATAGAAAGATTCTGAGACAAGCAAGCAGATATCTCCTGAATTAACTAAAGAGGAAATATTACTTTGGTATTACATAATGTGAATCCTCAATCTCCCAGTGATTACATCACTGTTCTCAGACTGCAGCAACAAATGCACTTACAAATGTACTTACAAACACTGGGGAAATGTCTTGTGTAAACAACTGAAACATGATGAACAGGGAACATGAGACATAAATATTGTGGTTTTGTAAGAATTTTCAAACACTTAAGTGAAGAACATTTAGCAAATTTGAGTCAATCTGTCATATATATATATATATATATATATATATATATATATATATGGGGGAAAATTTTATGACGGTAGCAAAAGTTTGCTTGTGAAGTGTTTCGTCCCTCATCGTACTAATTTTGTTATGTTGGTAGGACGACATGTGCATGGCAGAGGGGTGCTGGGAATTTTAGAATTTTTCTTTTTCAGCTGAATTCAAGTCTTTTTCTTTCCATCACTTTTGTAAGTAGGTATTCCATACTGTCATATCAGAAGTTCTGCCAGGAATGAGGAAATGTTGTAAGAACCAGGGCACAAATTTACTGTAGTTGACCTTGCAATTAAGGCATTCTAGACATTTACGTCTTAGTGAATTATTTTCTCCTTTGATCATAGTAGCATTTTTTATGTCAAAGTTGTGGTCAGTCACGTTACAATAAGCAACCAATGCATTTGATGTATTATTTAAGAAAATGTCCCTTTTATGTTCATATAATATTTTTAGATTTCTTGAGGTTTCTCCTATATATTTTTTGTGACAAATATTCCAGGCAATGGAAAAACTCCTCCTTCACTAAATTTCTCCTTAGCAGATCAACTAGACTATGTGGAACACACAATAGAATTTAGATACAAAATGGAAGAACACACAATTCCTTGTTCTTCCTAGATATCAAGCTACACTGTATTAACAGTTTAAAACTGTGTCTGCTGGAAATCAACCAACAAAAACAACCTAATAAATTTGTATTCTCATCATAACAAAATAAAATCTAGCATAATCATCAGATTCTACCAAAGAGCTCTAAGAATATGCAGCTTGTATTATTTACATGAAGAAAAATACATTGAAAACACTTTTAAACAACGTCTCCAGAACACTAATTATTTTATATTCAATTTGAAACAAAAGGCCCACAAAATATTAAAAAAAAAAAAAAAAAAAAAAAAAAAAAAAATCAATGTAGAAAATAATTCACTTAAAAATTAAAATAATGTATGATGTAAATGTTGAGAGAATCCTTAATCACAAGGTTATCTACAGTAAATTTGAACCCTGGCTCTTACATTTCACCATTCCTGGCAGATCTAATATCTTACAAAAAGTGATGGAAAGAAAAAGAAAAAGACTAAAATGAATTTGGTTGTGTAAAAAAAAAAAAAAAAAATTTCCAGCACCCCTCTGCTGTGAACATATGTAGTCTTACCAACATAACAAAATTAGTCTGATGAAGTCCCGAAAGATAAAATGCATCACAAGTAAACTTTTTCACTTTCTTATAAAATTTCCCCAATACTACTCTTGAGATCTCTGTGTGTGTGTGTGTGTTTCATTAAAGATGACTGACAAAGTGCTGTGATTAAGATTTTTATTTAATTTTTCTTTTGTTCATACAAGTGTTTTCCTTTCTGGACACAAAGTGTTTAAAAACTGCCCAAAAGTTCTTCATTTACGATTGCTTTCGACTATACTTTCAGCCATGTCAAGGATGATTTTAATTTACTTTTAGCTGAATGTGTTATGTATCCAGAGTTATAGGGATGACTTAATGATAAAAAGAAAAAGCAAACACTCAATAACATTAACATTAAATTATATGAACACACCATAATGTGTTGACCGTGTTTGGAAAATAAAACATCCCTTAACACTACATAACCCATATATTCAATTAAAAAAAACAAAACAAAAAAAACAAAAAAAAAACTTGTATGAACACAAGGAAAAAAATAAATAAAAAGCTTAATCACAGTACCGTGTCAGTCATCTTTAATGAAACAAGTATAAAAGAGGGATTGTTGCTGCTTAAGTACACAATATATATATTATATAATTACTTAAACATCATTTGCAGTGGATATTTATTTATTTTCAGCTATTGGCCTGAATATTAGAGAAATCTTATTAAAGAAAAATATGCAGAGAACACTTTTTTTTTTTTAAATAAGAAATCTTGAATATTTAGTTCAGGCTGGTAGACAAAAAATAAACATACTGTTTAGTAAATAAATGGAGCAAATATGGGTATCCACTAAAAAATAATGTTTAATTAATAAAATCTGTTGGATTAATAAATAAAAAAATCTTTTAGAACACAAAAATACATAATCTGCACAGAGGAAACATGTAAAGCAGTTCTTAATAAATCTTCACATTGAAATATGTTCATTATATATATATGAAATAGATGATATACCTGAAAAGAAAATTATCACAATTTGATAAGAACATTTTATAAATTTAGTTAAGACAATTTTAGCAAATAAATTAATTCATCTGTTTACACATCATGAAAAAATGTAAATGTGGTAGTTGCAATGAAAGATACAATTAAATTTAAAATACCAGAAATAGTGTATCACTAATGACTAAATTTACCTGTAAAAATATGTTAGAATTTGATATTGTGAGAATAATTATTACAGTTTGGCTACTTATAAAATTATCATTTAGTCTCTGAAATAACTATCCCAAGTATATCTTACATCTTATGAATGAAATCAGTTTTTCAGCATTTGAACAATATCTATTTTAGTTTGGAAGTGATGAGAAATGTTTGTACAAGTGACTATCATATCTGAATATTTTATTTAACCTTTGTTTCTTTTATGACAGCATTTTAACCGAGATATTTCATCTGGTTTTACATTTTTTTTCTGAAATTGGAAAATTTTAATTTATACTGAACTAATCCATGAAATTGAACTGCAATAAATTCAATATTTACACCTGAAAATAAAGTTGGTGTTAGAAAAGATCAAAAGAAATAAAATATTCATTATTATTTATACCGCATGTCTGGATAGAGGCCAGTTTTAATTAGTAGAAATTAAGATTTATTAAGAAATTATCAACTAATTAAATCTATAACATCCATTAGTGTTTAATCCATTAGCAATCATTGATTTACTAAATTCTGGATATTGCCAATTCAGCATTTGAAACGAATTTTGTACACCAAACACTGATTTACTTCCCTTCCATACCACGTCGTTGTTGCCGTATTATTATTTATTATTACTTTTTATTTTTAGACTAATAATATAAACCGTTACTAATAAATGCGAAAATGAACAATATTCTTTCTTTATTTTAAGAAGCAATCAATAATACTTCCTTTTTCAATGGATTTATATGTTAAAAATAATGCAGCTCTCATAAATACAACACCCGAATCGGGAAGCAAGTCTTAAAAAACAATTAACATAAATTGAAAAAAATCACTATACTGAACTGAAATAAATTATAATGTAAAATAAAAATTTTCGGCATGATTTTGATTACTGTCTTAAAAATCAGCTTACACACGCTACTTTTCAAACTTATTATTTTAAAACTAAAAGAATCGTTTTTTGATAACTTGTGTAGATTGTTTCTTTTTGGTCAATAAGTGTAAAAAAAAAAACAAAAACAAAACAACTTATAGGATTGCAATTTCCAATGATGACAGTAATCATTAAAAATCGTAATGAAATGGAAATTATCATGATTTAAGAATGTATTTTTTAATTCAATCTCATTCATTTGTTTTATTTTTCCTAATCTGAAAAACTACTTAATTTAATTTTTTATAACTTCAACAAACCTAGTTCATATTCCGCCATCGTCTGTTGTGTTCACTGTTTTTGCACTAATACCCTTAGTAAAGGCATGAATCCACCGTTTCTCCTCTTAGCTGCGAGTCAGACTGTGTTCTCAAGCCTTGGGTGGCAACCGGTCTAGAGAAGGAAGGCTTTAAAATTCAAATCATGGAAAAGGCACAGAAAACCATTTAATTTCACTGACCCAAGAAGTCATGGCATTTTAATTTACAGATTATAAAAGATCTGTGGAGAGCCATGATCGCCTACGTCCTGAAATATATGGGGAGTGAGATTAAAAATAATGATTCCAAAACAAAACCAATATCCACCACCATTAAATTTTCTTTTGACTACCTCAGTATCTATCAAAAGATTCTTAGCAACTGATTGAAATATTTTTACTTAACTCTTGAAATATCATGATAAATTTCATAACAAAATATCTTTTTAAAATACCTAATTAATATAGTGATTTATTAAAAAAAAAGTAAGCAATTCTTTTTTGGCATTTACAGACAGATGTAATTTAAAAAAAAGGATCTGAGAAAAGTCATTATTTAGGGGGTTATAAATTGAAACGTAGCAGGAAAATAAAATAACTGCTATAAAATGTAGATGTCACATACCTTAGGACATTCTACATCCTTATCAGAAGATCCAAAAACCAAATTTTCCAAGTTTTTCACACGTTCTTCTAAAATGTCAATAGTAGCAGCCATTTTTATGAGTCAACTGAATACTCTAGAGTTACTTTTCCCTTGTTAATACTCTTGCATTTCAAAAAGGCATAAAAAGAATCTTATTTAAATTGACAAAAAAAGAACTTATACGCACCCTAAACAACTTATATAAAGTAAGATCTTTAACATAATGTAGTCATACGTAAATTTCAATATTGCTGAAAAAATTATTTTAAGTTCAAAATAATTAATAATTTTATTATCAAATACGAAACTAAAATATATTTTTAGTTAACTTACGATACTAACTGATATAATAATTCATTTTTATAATGTCTGTAGTGTAAATATTTATACAGGTTTAGTAAATTTTAATAAATTAAGTAAATGTATTATTGTATTATTCAAAGTAAAGAGTTAACTTTCGTATCTTACAAAAACAAAATGGTTGTCACTTGTCGTTTCTCGAATTGATTTGTGCAATATTGGTTACTTTACAGATTGATTTTTATCATGGCTTCTAAAAAAGATTCATTGAAAGAAACAGCAAAGCCTATAAATGATAAGCCACCGGATAATGTCGAGAATCAGTTTGGAGAGGCTTCGTCTATCGATAAAGTTACTTTAAATAACACGGTAAGTTACCCACGTGTTTTGTTGGTATGGTTGCTCTGAAATTCAGGTTTTAGTGTTGAGATAAATGATTAACAGGAAAAATTATAAAGGTGAGAATATATTGTAGAGTCAAAGCAACGATAAGTAAAAACTATGATCAACATAACCAACAAACCTTTCATGAAAAATTATTGGTTTTTGTATTTAAAACCAGAAAACATTTGAAATTGTTCAATTAGTGCTCCATACTTACGGCCTTGTGATACAAGCTTAGCAAACTATAATTCTATTGGAGACATAGTACGTAATTGTAATATGTTCGAAAAACAGTTATCACTATATTTTTTTCTTCATAAAATAAAATTCAATCAAAGAATGTTCGAACAAATCTCTGGATTATGAAAGTTTTCACACTTGGCAATTGAATCGGGCACTTCATTTTTTTTAACAAAAACCGACAATAAACTCAACATTTTCCATAGCTTGATTTTATTTTTAAACTTTAAAATCCGGTTCCTTAAAAATTAGAGAAAAAAACAATGCAAACATTTTTCTTGAATATTTACAAAAAAAAAAAAAAAATGTGTAACCTTTTAAATTTTATTTTTATCTCTAAAGATTCGCTAAAAACGAGCATACATGAAAAAAAAAATACCTGAAACGTAATAAAAACAAAGTTTCATCGTCAAAATTTTTGTCTTATTAAGAAGAGAAAAGATCAAAGGATTTTTTGATGGAAAATTATCTTTTTAATTCTTTTTTAGAACCTTCGAAATTTTGGTTAAACATCTTGTTTTTCCGGCGTGGACGTTTCACCATAAATAACAATAAACACTAAATGAAAATAAATAAACAACTCTTTCCCCCCCCCCCCCCCAATATATATGTTTAGAAATTAACTTTCTTCTTTAGGTTGATATTCACTTGTAAGAAAACTTGAGTTTATTAAGTATGAATTTAAAACTTATTTTTTAAAAAGATAATGCTTTCAATTTTCAATAAAATTGTAAGAATGAACCAACATAAAATGTTATGTTTTTCATTACAGATAATCTCTATGCGTTCTACAGTGAAGAAGTCCAAAATACGAATTCTTGCAAAATTGATTCGTCACATTAAACAATTAAAATCTAAAATGTAAGTAGTAATCTTTGATTATTCTTATTTTATTGTTGCCTTTTGTTTGTGATTTTTTTAATTATTGAATTAAGAAAATTAAAACGAAAACCCCTTAAAAATTACATGATTTTTTTGTTGTTTTGATTTTTGAAGTTACAAAAAAAAAAAACTGACATAATCTCGTGTTATTATTTTGTTTTAAAACTTTGAAAAAGAATATATCATCAACTGTAAATTTTGGCTACAATGAATTCATAACCTTAGTTGAGTGAATTTTTTTCAGTGTGTAAAACTTCTGTTTTGTATGTCTAAAATAAAGTATGAACAATAACTATTATGATTGAGTAATATCAAAATAACTCGACTTTTAAAAGAAAGACTGCAGAATGAAACTGGTGCCATTGCCATTTGATGCATGCTATGCGTGTGTCTTAGTTGTAGTCTTTTTTTTTTGTTTTTTCCTTTTCTAGAATATACCAAATCAAGATCATTATATCAGAAATCTACATTCCCTACCAAGGGTTAAAAGGATTTTCTCATTTTGGTCACCATTATAAAGCATTTATCTTTTTACAAATACAAACATTTAAATCCTGTTAAAATAATTGGAATTTTCTTTAAATCTTCAATTTGCATGCTGGGTAGGATTGCAAGGTACTTTTTTGTTATTTTTGCACTTAGCTGTAAGGAGTGGATTCTACTCCTGGTGAGAGCTAGGTATGATGAGAGACTACATCTGACAGCAAAGCCTCTGATCAGGAGATTGTAGGTTTTGAGGTGCGTGGAACCACCTCTTAATATTCCAGGTCAATCCTGACCTGGTGTAGTAGTACCTGTTGGGGTCCCAGCTATGGATAAAGCATGTATTAATACCACTACTATAATGTTATAACAAATCTTTTACATTCGACAAAAGAAGGAATTTGGAGTAATTATCTGTAGATCAGAATCATAGGAGCAACGGTAAGTAAGGGGTCTGGAATTTATTGCTATTTATATGTCTGTAAGAGTAGTAAGTAATTCAAAATAGTCGACCTGAGATCTGCCGATGTTCTTGTATAGACATAACTTGATAGTTTTAATCATACTTTCCCCACACACTTCCCATCCAAGCAGCGTCCTGGGCATGACATTAAACTGCACCAGCTTCCTGAGCATGATGCTAAATTGCATCAGTGACCTGGGTATGACTTTTAACCGCTCTGGTTTACTAGGCATCATTGTGGGGATTTGTATGCCAGGGCCTCCAAAATCAGAGAATTTTAGGCTTGTTGTGGTATCGGCTCCTTGATTCTCAGCCCATGAAGTCATAGAACTTTGGACCCTGAATATATTATAAGTTTAATTGTAAACTTACATTTTCATGTATCTATTCCTTTCTTTTGCAGGATAGGTTAGATTACTTAAGTTGAAGACTTACTTGTTGTCAGTAAGTTTCCTTTTATAAAAATTCGGAAAATGTACTTACTCGTTGATAGCTAGTTTAAAAATTTTGATTTTTTTTTGTTCATAGGATTCTGTACACCCTATAAAGCTTCCAGAATCATAAGAATTTCAGTCTGGTATTGTCTCCTCATTTTAGGCCCTTGAAGTTGAAGAACTTTGGGCTTCAAATATGTGATCAATTTGATTTACTCTTTTAAAATAAGTTTAGTAGTAAAATTACATTATTATTTCTATATTTTTCCCAGGTGGGATTGGTTAGATTTATTCATGGGAAGTTAAACCTTATGCCTTCTGTAAGACTTTTCTAAAATAAATTTATTTCGAAAATAATTGGTTTTAATTAGATTAATTCATCCATATCTTACTCCGTGCGAGCATATTTGGGGGTGGAAAAAATTTTTTAATTTTAAATTTTTTCTGCAACAAACTGAAGTTCATTGCATCTTTCTTTGAACGGAAAGTATTAGGATTTAATTTGAGAACCACTACTACAATGTTTTACAAGTTCATGATCTAACCTCTTTTCTGATTTTTGCCCCAACTTTTCCCCCGCTTTCAAATCTGGCTCACAAACCTTTAATTCTTATCAGAGATAAGAATATATTTTCTAACGAATGAGAGGGCTGGGAAAGTGTATAGCAATTTTGGAGGAAAAGTTCACAATATTTTGAGCCTTCTAATCTTGATAAATATCGAGAATATGTGCCTCTTTGGCAGTGAGTATTAGGTTGGTGACAAAACATCAGTCATCTTCAGAACCTGTTTCAAGGAAGAAATCTACGAGCTAGGCTCTAAAGACAGAACGTCAGCCATCTACTAAAAACTAATTGAGATCTGCTTCTTTGCACCTAGAAATTCCTGTCATCGGCCTATAAACTCACTCAACTGCAAACTATGGATCTTCTGATTTTTTTCCCCTCAACAAAAGCTCTAAGAAATCTATGTGAGTGTTAACCCCCTTAAGAATGATTTACTTGCTTCAAGAACTTTTAGGCACTTGGGGAAATATTTTGAGCAAACCTTTATATGAACACTTTTTCTTTCTTTAAGTTAAAGGAATTTTCTTCTCCCTTTCTTTCTCTCATATTTTGGGTATATTCCTTTGCCATTTTTTTGTGTATGTAAATAAACATTTTCTTCTTTTATTCTTACACACTGAGCAGGAGTTTGAGTCTTTACTCTTCTGTCCAAAAGAGAGAATTGTCTTCTCTAAACTTTTAAGCTGCTGTTTACTTTTATTGATTCTGTCAACTTTAATCTTAACCCTTTCATGTAGGAAAGCCAGGACAAATTTCCCACATGTTTTCTCTCTCTTTTTTTTTTTTTTTTTTTTTTTTTTAAACTGCTAAATGAATCTTTGGGATAGTATATTTTACCCATCTGTATTTATGAAAAAGTTGGAAGATTAATTTAAAAAGTAGTGACAGATAACCAACAAGTACCAAAAAATTACTAACAATCCATATTTTACAGTAGAATTACCAATAACAGATTTTATTTGTAGTTGAATGCATACAATTAAATTCAAAATATATTTAGTTGAAGCCATAAAATTGTGTTCAAAATATTTAGATTTCAGCATTATATTTTTGAATGTGTTGCTAAACAAAATCAACCAACATCTACTCCTGGTTTTAAATTTGTATTTTTTTTTCACTTAGACTAGTTATCAAATAAAGCTAAGAAGCCTGGTCTGTCATTCTATTTTACCCATAGCTGTAGGGAGTGGGTAGAAGAGAGATTCAGGCCTTTCCCAAGGACAATATGAACACAAACCGTCTTAGCTGAAATTTGAACCTAGTTTGCCAGTTTTATTTTTTATACTGTTAACCATTAAGCCATCTGCATATCTTCATAAAACTAAGTAAAGTTTTAAATAAAATCAAAAATGATTCATTCTTAGGCTGAGATATTTAGGTAATTAATACAAACTGATAATTGTTGCCATGCTATCATATAATTATTTATTTAAATTTTAGAAATGAAAAACCAATTAATACAGAAAAGAATAAAAGAAAACTTGCAAACTTACTTGAAGAAATGAAAATAATCAAGGTAAGTTGGTTCTTGTTATTTGTGTCTTCATGTTTTCATTGTTATCTTTATGAAATTAGCTGTAAGTTATGAGTGAAAACTTGATACTGTTTTCTTAATGTATTATCAGACAACTCTACCACAGTTCAAATCTTTTTTGTACATATTTCTCTCATCATCTGCTTACAAAAAATACTTAGAGTACATTATTAAACTTTATCAAAGTTAAGTTGATTATGAGAATATATGTTTTTTGCTGCCATTGCATATACATTTAAAATAGTTATAAGAAAATGGTTTATCCAAGTACTCATTTGGGTAATTTCTTCTTTGTCAACCAGCAGAACATATTAGTGACAAGACATTTTGTTAAGGAATGTGATAGTTAAATGTTCATGCTCATCACCAACACATCAATGATCAATATCAACAGTGACCAACACACTGATGGGTAATACCAATAGTTACCATAAGAATACATCCTAGTAGCTACTGCTTAGCACTGAAATATAACAGTTTATATAGACCCCAAAGATGCTCATGACTGATTAGATTAAAATTTGCATTTCTGGCCAATTTCTATCGAGTCATGATTTGTGTTTCATATTTTGGTAGAGAATACACGCAACCTATGAGCATTTCATTTGACAAGAAAAGTAACTACCATATTTGAGTAGATGCTCTGTTTTTATTGTTAAACAGTATATTTATTTATATCTACCAGCCTGAATATTCGAGAAATCTTGTTAGAAAAATATGCGCCCTCTGGCAGGATCTGAACCTGTGTCCGGTAGGGGAAACCATCTTGACCTCTCAGCCAGATAGGACCTTCTGATCAGATAAAGCAAGAATAGTACTTTTGAACACACATCTTTCCCGATTCTCGAAATATACATATCTGCTCTGTTTTGTATCCTAATGTAAACAAAGACAATTTTTTAGGAAATGGATTAGATCCGACATTTTTAATTTATTTGTTTTTATTTTGAATGAACCTATATTTGAGTAGATGTTCTGTTTTTATTATTAAACAGTATATTTATTTACATCTACCAGCCTGAATATTTGAGGAATCTTGTTAGAAAAATATGTACTCTCTGGTGTATTGTTTGATCAAGAGATACTACATGGCTGAGAGGTTGAGGCAAGTCAAATCTAATGATGGTCACACCTAGGGGATGCAGGTTTGAATCCTGCCAGAGGGTGCATATTTTTCTAACACAATTTCTCAAATATTTAGGCCATTAGATGTAAAATAAATGTTTAATAATAAAACAGAACATTTACTCAAATATGAGTATCCATTAAAAATATTGTTTAAACAAATAAATTATAATTGTTGGATTTAATCCATTCCTAAAATTATATATATATATATATATATATATATATATATATATTAAGAAATGGACAAAGTCCGACAATTTATTTATTAAAGACATTTTTATGTTTAACATTCTTTTTTTATAGATACAAGTATTTAAGTAAATGCTCTGTTTATAATAAACAGTATTAAATAACATTTACCGGCCTGAATGTCGAGAAATTTTCATGAAAATATCCATCCTTTGACAGGATTTGAACCTGCATCTTATCTATGAAACCGAGAGGTTAGGACGTCAGTGTAAATGGCGGTTTGTTTAGGATAAACAGAGCATTTACTTAAATACTTGTATCTATAAAAAAGAACGTTAAACATAAAAATGTCTTTAATAAATATGTGTGTGTGTGCATATTTAGGCAGCAAGTATTAATCAAAACACATTTGATTAAAAAGAACTGATAAACAAGGTCTGTCTGGTTTTTTTATTGCATGTTGCCAATTTTCAAGTAAGGTGTTGAGTATTGCACTCAAAGTTGTGAATAAACTGTTCAGGGCTTATAAATCTCCCCTGTGACGTCGTCCCCCGGTCGCAGCACCAACTATGACGTTCTATCCTGATCTACCACGGCACCAGTTGTGACGTGGCCGTTCCAGGGTCCTATCCCAGTCACGACACCAGTTGTGACGTCCCTAAACAGCACCAATTGTGACGTCTTCGCCGCGGCGCCAGCTGTTCGCTGCTCCGTCCGGTGTCGCTGCTCCAAACGTGACATTTGCCTGTTGCGTCAGTCATGTTGTCTCGTACTGTGACGACCAACTGGCTTGGTATCGGTCGCGGCACCCAAATGTGACGTTCTAACCTTTTGGTGATTCGGGTGGGATTCTGGTTAGATTTGATATCAGCCTCGCCGTTCCCAACCTGCTTCCAACACCTGGTTACCAAGGTAACTGCACTGATCTCCAGTCTGCCTACCCGTTGTGAATTGATCTTAGACAGGCGAGATCAAGCGGGTTGGGGCCGTAATGCAAATTGAGTTCAACGGGGTGATAACACACAAATATGCATAAAAAGAAAATAAAATGAAAAACTCAAAAAGTTCAAAGTATCAAAGAAAAAGGTAACAAACTTTATGTCTAGTTGTTCGATACATAGCACTGCATCTATCTCCCGACCCGTTCTGTGGATTGTGACCGTCGCTTTTCGCTAGGCAAGTTTTAACGCTTCAAGTTGTTTGCTCTCTAAGAAATTTGTGTTTGATTGTGTCTTTGGACGAAAAGTCGAAAAACTTATTTCTGTGGTCTGGTTCTAAGTCGCTCTTCAAAATAATTGTTCTTGGTTGAAGAGGAGTCAAAATTTTCGTGAATCTTGGTCAGCTATCTTGGTCTATCATCTCTGCCGCCATGGCCGAACTACTGGCCACTCATCTCTGCCGTCAGGGTTCGAACTACTGGACACTCATCCCTGCCGTCGGGGCGCGAACTAACTGGACACTCATCTCTGCCGTCAAGGCTCGAACTACTGCGCACTCATCTCTGCCGTCAAGGCTCGAACTACTGCGCACTCATCTCTGCCGTCAGGGCGCGAACTACTGGACACCCATCCCTGTCGTTGGGGTGCGAACTAACTGGACACTCATCTCTGCCATCAAGGCTCGAACTACTGGGCACTCATCTCTGCCGTCAGGGTGCGAACTACTGGACACTCATCCCTGCCGTCGGGGCGCGAACTGATTTCTGCCTGTTGGGGCCTGGTTTTTTATTGACGCCGACAAAAAACCGGGTTGGGTCTGTTGGCGTCGGGGAGTTCCTCGATAATTCTAAATACATATCCACCTCTTTTATTTCTGGTTAGGAACTTTCCACTCTTTTCCATTTTTGGTAACTTTTTTCTCACTCCCACTTTCTCACCATGCTTCTGAGGGGCGTGAACTGCCCTCCCCACTTCTTCGTAGCGGCTTCTCATACTTATACTTTGGATGGGGGCGTCAACAGCCTTCTTTGTGCGTCACGTGATCACTCTCGGCCAATGAGGTCTTGGTTGGGTATCTTTCCTCCTCCTTCATGCGTCATGTGATCACCACTTGACCAATGATGTCTTAGTCGGGCGTGAACAACCCGCAGCTTTGTTTCGGAAAAAAAAATACCTTGCTTAACTAAAAAATTTAATTAAATCGCCGTTATCATGAACGGATAATATGACAACTCTTTGTTCAACACGTGGCGTTTGTCAAGCAGTTTATCGCTAATTCATCAGGCGGCTGATTTTCCGGCATGGTCTCAGAAAAGAATTTTCTCCAAGTTTTCAGTCAGTCTGACGTCTCAAGGAAGAAATAAAACATTTTTATTCCATTCAATTTCCTTCGGTTCATGTGTCTGATAACAAAATTTTATTATCGCAGGGGGCAAAAGTTTGTTTTGTCGAAAAAGAGCTTAATTAGCGAGACGGCTTGTGTGGGATTTTAATTTTCCATATCCAGCTAAGGCTCCAAGCTACACCTGTGTTTTGTCAATTATCAAAATCTAACGTTTTCAAGTGGACTTTCTTTGGCGAACATTTCTTGATAACACAATTCCATTCGCGCAGGCCAATAGGAAAATCGGTCAATGATTGCTCGCAGGTGGCCTTTAATTTTCATATCTGTCAAAAGTCTTTTTTTTTTTGTCGCCTGTTTCTTGTCGTAACTTATCAAAATAACATTTTCGCTGGAATTTTTCCCTTGGCCGGTGGCCTGTGTTTTGATAGTAAGATGCCTTCTCGTACCAATAGTTTAGATAACACTTCCCTACCCGCTCAATCTCATTGTCATTGTAATGACACTCTTTTAAATCATGTGCCACTTATCCAAAATAACCTTTTTTTTTTTTATTGCCTCTTAAGCCGTGTGTGTGTGTTCGCCTATGATCCGTCTCGCATTACTTTTTCCTTCCTTTCTTCTTTTCTTTCCTTTTCCCTTTTTGCCTTTCTTTCTCTGCCTGGATGCATGGTGCCACACCCCTATGTAAAAATAATGTTGTCTATGAATTCTCATACCCCCTGGGAGATTGCATCTCCAAAATTAATAATCAAAAAAACTGCATTAAATACTTACATTGAGCACACATGTACCATGTTCTCTTGCAGATTGACCTGTCACCTGTCAAAACTCAGTGTAATATGTGCACACATCGTTCAGCACACCATGAACAACCAAAGTACAACTAACAAAATAAGAAATACTAGTAGATAACATGAAAATACTCTACAACACCCAATGCAAGAAAAAATCAAAACTGTAGAAGCTATTATTATACAAAATAAGCAGCCTCCATTAATAAAATATCATTCCCTACAGGAGACTGTTTCTTGAAGTGCATATGATATAATTAACTAGCAGTAGAGCCCGGCGTTGCCCGGGGATATAACAGTAAGAGATAGATCAAGTATCCACCATCATAAAGACTGAAAAGTAAAATTGACAAAGATTATATTGTTTAAGGTTGACGGACACGCATGTCTTAATTATATTTTTTTTTTTTTTTTTTTTTTTTTAATTGGTCAAACCCAAACTCAAACAAAAAAACATTGTTTTCAATCGTTATGAGTCTACTGATTGAATAGAATTTTATTATAAACAATTGTCTTGTAAATGGAATTTTTAAAGCATTCTGAATGTTAAAAATAAAGAAAAAAGTGTGCAAGAGAATAAGAAACATTACCTGCAAAAAAAAAAAGAAAAAAGTGAAATTTTATCGGCTGAAAAATATAGGAAATCCGCTCCCATATTTAAAGTAACCCACACACACAAACTGATGTGAGTTGTCCCCCTTCCATTTTCACGATGTCTCTTAATCGTGTTTTCAAATTGATTTTGTGCAAAAACAATTATTTTTTTTCCATTTTTGGTGCTGTTAGAACCACCACAAGGTAATTTTATGTAGTCCTGTGAAGTTTTGTTGAAATCGGTTGAAAAATGTAGGAAATCCAATCCAATATATAAATGTTACAGACACACACACACACAATCTGCGTTTTATAATAAGTAAGATGTGCACACATATTTTAGCAGCATTAAAATTAATAAATTGCATTTTTTTATGCAAGCTTGTTCCCAATAGTCATTACACATGAAATCACCTGAGACCATTTCAAACGTCCAACTTCTCAAAGAATACCAGGATGCAGACAAAAAAGTACTTGAACAAAAATAACTAACTATGAACTTCGGACAATTTATCCAGAAATTCGAGGGAATACTTGGCACCTTATCCCAAAATTGGAAAAATATATTAAAAATTAAACAGACCTTGTCGGTCTTTTTTTAATCAAACTTGTTTGGATATATATATATATATATATATATATATATATATATATATATATATATATATATATATATATATATATATAATTTTCATAATTCACTTTTCTTTTTTTTTTAATCCATACATTTTTTCATATACATATATATTCTTTATATATATATATATAGGTCTGCTCTACTTTTGTATTGAGCACTTTTTTAGTTAGTTGATAACTCGTATCGGGGTTTTTTTTCTTTGGGCTTTGGACCTGTATGCTGTACGATTATTTTCGACAGACGTTCATGTTCCTAGCTCTTTCTTTTTTTAAAACCTTTTTTTCCTTCAAAATTGATTTGATCAAATCAAGAAACCGAAGGTTTTTCGAGACAAGTGTAGTTGCCTATATATATATATATATATATATATATATAATATATATATATATATATATATATATATATATATATATAATTTAATCATTTTTTTTTTTTTTTGTAATAAATTAATTTTTACCAATTTATTTATTTTCCCCATAAATAAATGTACTTCTCCACTGTCTTAACAGTAGATTACAAATATTGACAAATTACAGCAGAGTCTGTTTCCAATTTGTGCCTGACAAATGTATGTATGAAACTCAAAGTTGCACCAAATGGTGATGAACAAATGTATATTTATTCTTATATATAATTATTTAATCAGGCCAATTTTCTAAGCATTAAGTTGAAAAAAAACAAAAAACAAAGATGTATGAAGAGATAATTAAATTGTATAAATGTACATTTTATAGAATAACTAAATTGTTTTTTTCCTTGTAGGCTTTAAAGCCAGACACAGTATCAAGATTTGTATTGGGTAATACCTTTACTTTTGTAGAGCTTAATAACAAGGTAAGTACAATGTTCTGTATGGCTGCAATTGTTTTTCCAATATCTTATGTGTTTGTTATGTGGATAACTGTAGAAATATAATTCCATTTGTATCTACCCTTTTATTAAATCCACTGAAATAAATTCTGACATTTATTTTGTAATTAGAGTGATGTAAATAATTTCCAGCATTTTTTTTTTTTTTTTTTTTTTAACAAAATCATATAAATTCATAGCATCAATATTCAGTCATTAAAAATTTTCTACAACTTTATACCAGTTGTTCCCCAACTTTTTTTCTTTGGGCTGCATTTTCTGAATGAAAATTTTCTCACGCTTCACCAAATTTTATGTGATAAAAAGTACATTTAAAAATAAAAAGTGAGAGGGTTAATAGGAGATAACAATGGATTCAAAGTCAAGACATTATCATTGATAACTCTCTTCTTCAATTTGCAAACCCTAGTTACTATATTAATACTTGATATAATACAAAAATATCTCAATAATCAATTATAACTATTTATACTGGGACTCATGTCTGCAATTACAAGTAATCCATAACATTTTAAATTTTGAAATCACTTATTTTTAGCATATGAATTTTTTAAAACAGTTTCTAAATCTTTAATTGTTTTTCAATCATTCTGCCTCACCTGCTATCTTCTTCCACCGCACATATGAAGCATGCCAGACATTTTGGGAACCACTGCTTTATACCGTTTTTCAGATAAATTGTACATTCCTTCATAAAAATTGATTCTGGTTTTCCATTCTGTGAATCCTTGAAAGAGTTTTCATTGGAGCCACTAATCAGACAAGAAATTGTTGTATAAAGTAAAACAAGTGATAGCCCGAAGGTGACTGGTGTGTGTGGGAATATTCTTCATGTAGAAGAATTTCCCATCCCAACTCCCTGAGTGTTTGTTGCATTTGTAACATGTAAAATCATTGCTGTCATGTTAGCAACATCGTCTGTCAGTTATATTGCCCAGGAAAAGATTGTTTCTCATTCAGATGAGTTCATTGCTCATTGTAACATTAAACCAGTAATTCCTCATGGTTAGACTTTTGGGATGATGGGCATTGATGGATTTTATGTAGAAACATGTAATTAATACCAGATTATTTTAATTTTGATAATTAATACCAAATTTTATGGTGAGTATTAATGAGTTGACTAAAAACTTTGAGTTGATGGAACTTACACTTGGATGTTGAGAGCTATGCTTCTCTTGGCGACAACATCCAACTAAATTACAGCTCTATGAACCCATCCCTGATATTTCTACAATCTTACATGAACACAGAATGCACTTTGCTGGACACTGCTGGCAAGCAAAATAAGAACTTGCAAGTGATCTACTGCTCTGGACACGTAGCCATGGCACAAGATAGATCAGTTGTCCAGCAATCATCTACATTGATCAACTATGTTATAACACAGAATATCACCAACCTTGAACCTTGATGCAGGACTGTGACGGATGGCGTGATAGAATCATGAATGTCCAAGCTAGCTCAACTGAATGGATTAATGGATTAAACAGTAGATTAATCTGTAGATTTCTGCAATATAGCAAAAAAGCTGTTGTAGATTAGGTGATGGTCTTGGTATTTATCTGACCTTCCCATTAAGGCAGGATGTAACATAAGGTTATTTTGATGTGGGATACCCATATGCATGCATATGGGCCAAGGGCAAATTGCCCAGTTCCTGCGACCAATGTCATGCTGGCATTGATATTACATGGAACCAATCTCTCTTAGGGCATTGAGGAAGGTGTTACTGCAGTGTCAGAATCCCTGGGACTGGGTACCTTTCATCTCAAATGAGGAGGGAACAAATACTACACTTGTTATTTTCATGGTGATAGGATAAGGCCAGTTAAAAATGGGGAGCCCAAGTGTGTGCACCTAGGTTAAGGCCAAAAACTGCCCAGTCCCCGCAACCAACATTGCACTGGCATCGACATTCCATTGACTCTCCTTCTGCAGGGTTGGAATCCCAGGACCAGGCATCTCTCATTTATTTGTTGTGTTCTGTCCAAAGACAGAAACACAATTGAGAGATAAAATGTAGTTTATCTGTCTGAAGGCAGATTGTATTTACTTGTTGCCCCGTTGAATGTAACATAAGGCCAGTTTAATGTGGGAAGCCCAAGTGCATGCATCTGGGCCAGATCCCAAAATAGCCCATCCCCTGCAACTATTGGTTGCACTGGCATCAGTATTACTACCAATCCTCCCGCTTTAGTGCAATGAAGGAGGTACTGCTGTGAGCAGCTGTTCCTTGAGATCAGACACCTCTCGATAATATTTTCGATTGCACTCTGCCCGACTACAAAGGTACAACTGAGTTGTGCTCTGTTTGAAGAGATAGAATGTAATTTGTCCACCTGAGGGCTGATGCTACACTTTTGATCACAGCCCGAAGGTCAAGGTTAGCCAATACTCTTTTGTCTAGTTTTCAGGTATAAAGAAAAAAAAAACATGGCAACTTGATTGCTCTCACTTTATTCATTTGGATGTAGGATAGAGAGAAAGAGTTTGAATAAGTAATGCAGTTTTCTTCTTTTCTCGTTTCATATGACCACTTCATATGAGCACACAGAGAGGCAACTGCCTGGTTGAGAATGATGCTCTTTGAATGCTTGCCATCCGGCCAGCCACTTTGTACATATTTCATAGTCTGATCATGACATATCCTTTAGTCATTTGACCACTTTACATTCTTTGCCTTCATTCAATCATGTGTGTTTCCGATACGTCTCTTGAAGCCATTTTGCTGAATATATTAGATTCCACTCAGGTTGAGATGTTAACTGTTATTATTCTGTATGTAACTTAATTTGCTGTACAAAAAGTTTATCCTGCCACTGAAGGTGACTCTGATCCCTGAACAATAATGTGCTTGAATTTTATAGTTGTGCTATCATATCCTGCTGTGGTAACAAAAAACAACTTCAAGTGAAATTATCAATAAGGGTACTGTAATTGAGAGGCCTTGAAAAAGAATGCATTGGAAAGGGAAGTATTATTAATAATGTAGGTTAAAGGTCATTCTGGATGTAGCCACTCATTTTTTTCTTTTGATTGTTGTAATAAGTCAATTTTTCATTGCCATTGACTTTCTTGTAAGAAAAGAAACCAGTGTTTAAATTTTGACAATGTACATTACTCAAGTGTTCATATTGAACCCATTTCCCTTGCCAATTTTCCTGAGGCTCAATTTCATTTTTGTCAAGCCAATTTTATTGGATGTTGTCATATTCATGCATTTTCCGTTAAGCACTGGTTTTAATTGCCATGCATTCAATATAACTACCATGTTTGTAATTTTTTTTGTTATTGTATATTTATATATATCTTTGGTTTTGTTTAGGGTTTTCAATCGACAGAGGCTCGTGCACTTGCTCGGTTTTCTGATGAAAACTTGCTTCAGGATAGCGTGAAAAAATTCCGTGCTGAACATTCTGACTGGAAATCTTTGGCAGCCTTTGTACAGACACAGAGTTCAGGTCGGCATATCAAAAAAAAGAAAAAGAACAAAAGTAACAAGATAAAAAAAGAAGAGACAAAAACTAATATAAAGGCTAAACAGATAATGGTGTCCACTTTTCTTCATGGAAAAGTGAATAATATGAACTCTGACAAAGAGACATTGAACTCAGAATCAGACATAAGCGCTTCCCATGTGATGAATGCAAAATCTTCACAGAAGCAGAAGGGAATGATTTCAAATAAAAATGAAGAACCTATTTGCAAAGATCTTCATCTCCAACCAATAGACTCTGAGATTCATTCCAATCAAGAGAAATCTGATTTGGATTTCTGTTCTGAAACTGATCCTCCAAATTTAAACAAAGAAATTCAAAATTCAAAGCAAAATCATAAAACCCCCAATACAAAGAGTACAGTCACTAAATTAAAGAATTCTGATAAAGAGCCATCTGTTGAGAAGCAACAAGCTGAAAACTCTTCACAAAATGCTGCAAAAATGGTTGTCAAAAAAATAAACCTGCATAATTTTGAGGATGATATTTCAATTGATACAGAACCAGCAACAGAAAATTCAAAGGAGAAATTATTTAGAAATGACAATAAACAAAGCAAAGAAAGTGAATTCTTTTTTTTCAGTGGCCAAGAGTCATCTGTCGAGGTTCCAGAAGAAGAGAATAAATTAGAAAAGGTGGATCAGAAGAATGATGATGAACCTGAGTTCACAGTATCTGGCAATCACTCAATGTTTTTGTCATTGTCAGGCAGTGATGTACAATCTTTTAGAGATGGAAGGTAAGTTATGTATATTATTTTTAAAATTTGAAAATATTTCAGGAGTTTAATTCAAACCCTTTTACTGACCATTACCCTTTCAGTTTTTGAATACATATCAGCCATTTATTTTGATTACTTTGGAACAGGGTCTTTTAGGTAATAATCACAAGCTGATTAAGGAAAATATATAAAAATTGGAACATTTTATATTCATTGTTATATTATTTCATTCAATATTATAAACAGTTTTATTATATCAGTATGAAATTTATTGTCATGAAATTTACTTTTTAATTCATTATGAATAAAGTACTTATTATCAAATGGTTACTGGTATAAAACTCAATTAGTAGGGATCAATTAATGCCAGTAACTGTTTAATAACATGTGCTTATAATAAATGGTTTGAATTACTTACATAGTACATTACTGGTTGAAGTTAAGTTATTGAAGTGGCTGAATTTTGAGTAGATAAAGCAAATAGTAATGTTTTGATGAAATCATTGAAGACTTTTTTTTTTTTTTTTGCTTTTTGTTTTGTTTTTAACAAAACAAAAATTTATTTTAAAATTATTCAAATATATTACATAGGATTATTAATTCACAGTACCCATAAAAATTTAATTGTTTCCATATTTGAATTTTCTGATGAATCACGATTTTTTGAGATAAGCTCCTTGTGAGTTCTATGATTAAAAAATACTTGTGGGAATTTCCTTATTGTTAAATATTTGAGCTTAACAACTTTAAGGAAATATTCCAATAACAATCATAAATATAAATGCAAGTCATTATTTAAAGAAGTAAGAGGGTACAAATGAAAAGATTCAGAATTGACAAGGTTTTCCATTTCACTGAAGCAGAGGTTAATTACATAAGAGCATTATCACCTCCTCTTTTTCTTATTATGTATACTTTCTCTTTTTTTTTTTTTTTTTTTTTCACTAAAACCAAACAGTGTCTCTGATCTATTTGTCCCTTCCAATTTTTCTCACAATCAAAATTGAATGGTCCATTATTTATCTAAGGTAATGGCAGGGTGTAACACATGTGCTAACTGATGGAGGAACAAGTAATTTGAGTTTTTTTCTTTATTCGTCTTGTCATTATCTTTTTGTTGCTTTTTTTTTTTTTTTTTTCCACAACAGTCAGGTGATTATTATCCTGACCATTAAGTAAACAGCATGGATTAGAGATAAAGTAAGCTTCCTCTGAGATTTGAATTCTTTTTTTGTTCCTTGGGAGCTGTAACAGTTGTGATAACAGTCAACAAAAATGAGATGATGCAAACACTAATACAAAATTAATGACAAGGCTTCATTTTAGAAAATTGAATTGTGTCAGAATTTTTAATATATATTTTTTTAAATTGAAAAATATTCTTATTTATGTGAAATTTCAATTGTTTGACTTATCCTTGTTTACTTGCCTTTCTGATAAATCTGTGGTTATTTCACGTTATATTGTTCTTTAATCCTTTCACCCCAAGGTGATAATGCCACTAAAGATTCAAGGGAGTGAAAGAGAATGAGAAGACTTTAGAAGGAACTGGAAACTCAATCCTAAACTGAAAGCTAAAGATAAATCTCTACTCCTGCTGAAAGGAGAGTGTGGATTGCATGATAGACAAACCTATCTACACCCTATTGATGGGGGGAATAAATAGTAAATAAAATTTCAGCATTTCAGTGGAGACATCAGAAATATAGTGTCAGAGTAGAATTTATAAGGAACCAGAAACCCAATCCTAAACAAGAAACAACGGATAAACCTCTACTCCTGTTCAAAAGAACAGTGACAGGCATGAATGATAGGCCAATCTATTTACTTTGTCATGTGGATCCTGATTTGTAGGATCATAATCACTTTCTGCACCTTTTACATTTATGATCAAAACTTCAGGTTTTGCCACTTTTACATGCTATCAATTTCTTTTTTCTATATCTTCTTGATTTGACTAAAAAGATGTTCAATCACCCATATTCTCCTCTCATCAGTTTTTATTGACATTTTCTTTTTTTTTTCCATATATTGTGATCATTTTGCTTATATATATATATATATATATATCCCATATGAAAACTTGGAAATTTTCAAACATTTTAAGTGAAATTTTCATTTTCTGAAATTATAGTTTATAATTTAGATATAAAAAATGGTGTCAGTTTAAACTGACACTAGAATGATATGGGTTAATGGTAAGCTATTACCATCAGAATCATTTTACTTGGAACACATTTTAACCCCAGTATTATTATCTAAACATTTTTTTAAACTTATGTAGTAAACTTGTATATTTTTCAATGTTAATCAGGTTGGTCTTTGCTGACAAATTGTTTATTAAAAAATCTATTGTGAATAATATTATTTGTGATTTGTTACTATTTGTGTATCTTTTAGTGGGAGAAGAGGAAGAATGAATTCCCATTCTCCTTATTCTGAGTTCAGAAGACAGAAACCCAACTCTCAAGGACATCAGAATCCTGGTTATCGAAATAATTTTGTACAAGGACGTTTTTCAAATAGAGGAAGAAGAGAAAAACCATCTACATATCCCCTAACAAAAACATTTAAAGAATCAAAGGACACTACATTAAAGAATACACCAAAGCAAAAACTCTTGGACAAAAGCAGTAAGTCTTTTATTTAATTTTTCAATGTCAATACTTGAGTTGAAAAAGCTGACTTTTAATCTTGAATTTTAATCATACTTGATAATGCTGGTTCTTTTTAAAAAAAAAAAAAATACTAAAGTTATTTTGTCATTTTTCATAATCATTTGTGGTAATCTAAGAGATAACTTGTTTTGTATTATTAGTTATTATTAATATTACTTTTTTTTTACATTTTGCTATGATAAAGTAGAAAATAATGAAGCTGAATATTTACACGGTCGATTAAGTTTACACATACTCTACTTAAAAGTTGAGAGGCTTATGGCCACATCATGTAGGAATACTGGTTCCCATATGACCACCAAAGTTAAGCAACACCAAGCCTAGTCAGTACCCAGATGGGTGACTACTCAGGAATATCAGGTGCTGTAAACTTGGATGTACAGGTGATGTAATGGATAATGGCTCAGAATTGTAAATCAGAGCTGAGTCCCAATTCCATTTGAGTTTGTTATATTTACTCACACATAAATACCTTTGGGGAAAGGTATGAATCTACCTATTCCCCACCTGGCCATGGGTTAATTAGCAAGATTTGTATCATTAAATTATTATCTCAAAAAAGAAAAACTTTTTACAATCTAAAAATATTTTCTGGTTTTACATAATCTGCAAAGGGTTGATAAACTGTAGAAAATGAATGAATCAACCAAAAGTTGTGTGAGTGAAATTAAAAACATTACTAAGACAAATTGATATAAACATTTGATATTAAAAGAAAATGATAAATTCAACAGCTTGTCCACTACAAGATTTGAACCTGTTTAATTATTATTTGAGTTAGATCACTTGAATAAGCCGTTTTTTAATTAAATTTCTAAAAACCTATATGAGTTCTGATGTAATTTTGAAGACAATAAAAAATGCATTGAATCTTTTAGAATATTAACATATGCAAAATAATTTATGAATATTTGCTATTTTCATAAATGTAGCAATTTTAGAAAATATCTTACATATATGACTGCTGAGTGGGAACAAGATCATTTTAGTTTAACATTTTCAAAAACAAAATATCTCAGTGTATATCTGTTTTTACAATGCTGAAAATATGCTATTACTTTTGGTTTGCTTTCTGGCAAATGGCATCACAATATCTACTTGGATGTGGTTCAAAAGAAATTTCTTTATCCTGGATCCTCTGGCAATGAGCCAGATAAATTTAAGCTAGTATAAGTAATGATTGTCCTGGAAATGCTGACAAGATATTTTACTAATATGATGACATGTAAAAACATTCCAATGCCAAGTGGTTATCAAATAAATGAATGCAACAAAACCATTATTTAATTTTTTTTTTTTCCAAGCAAGTATTGCAGGGGGAAAAAAGTTGCCCCTATAATGTAGCAATTTTTTCATTCTCCAAAATTATTAGAAAATTAAATAAGAATTCTCCACTTGTTCCATTGTTCACAAAAGTTGGAGAAATGAAACTAATGAAAAAGCTTACATAAAAAAAATTACCAAAGTTTTTTTTTTTTTTTATATCTACTACAATAAAATTTGGAATAGAAACTAGTATGTAAATTATAGCTACTAAACTTACTAATATGATAATTAAAGCCAAGCAGATATGGTATTTCTTTATTTTTTCTTAGGATTTCTCAAATGTATTGTCATTTTTGTATTTCTAAGAGTCTCTGTAGAAAACCTCTTGAGATGTCTTGTATGTTTTTTTAAGCTTATGCAATGTTTTATGTTATTTTTTGATTATTTTAGTCTTTCTGAAAGTTTTTTTTTTTAGTTCTGGTGTTTGGGTTCTCTTTATACCTATGATTTAAAGCATCATAATCATCAACCTTTGAACTTCAAGGGGAAAAATCACTACCCGTAGAATAATATTTGGGGCAGTACACAGTATCTGTTTCATTTCCTTCTACTTCCTAAATTTTGCAAGCAACTTCCTGTGGTATTGAAACACAGTTTAAAATAATGCCTCAAAATTGCCAGAATCTCAATACTTTTATCTGCCATTATAGCATTTGATATGAAAGGTGCAGCAGAATAGTCTTCTTAATAATAATATGGTGAAGTCATAGGATAATCTTTAGATTTCTACATGAAATAAGCTTTGATCTGTAAAAAAAAAAAAAAAAAAAGTACTTTTGATATACCCCGATATAATGACAACCATATCTACCAAATTTACTGATATATAGCTAAAGGCAAGCAAACAAGATATTTTCTTCGATATTACCCCTATTTACCTTTTCAGAGAAAATTATTGGAAATGTTAAAAATTAGGAAAATCTAAGGTGGCTAAATTTGTTCATAGAAGATTTTTAAAATTATTATTATGGTTTTAATTTGCAGTATAGACAATTAGATAAGTCTTAATCCTTGGAGATAACTGATGTTATCAGGATTTAACTTGAGTCCAGTACTTTTTTATCTTCTATTAAGATGGATTGTTTTTCTATAACAAATAAATATTTGTCCCAAAAGCCAATTCCTGTGAATATTGTTATAAATCTGGTAGAAAACCCAACCATTCAATCTTAATTTTGTCATTAGCATAAATATTTTAAGGATGAAAATCTGAAAAATTTTTTATAGTTTTGCTTTGAAATATGGAATTCTATTTTTAACTTTTTTTTAATCTAATTGTTTTTGTTTTTATTAAAGATTTTAGTGATGAGAAACTGCATCCATCATGGGAAGCCAGCCGCAGACGGAAAGAACAGGCAGCCAGCATCTCTGTTTTTCAAGGGAAAAAAGTTAAATTTGATGATTAAAATTTTATTCAACAAAATGGTTGTTTGCTTCCCTTATTTTTTGAAAACAGTTTCAATTTTTTCCATCAAAATATGGAAGATATGATCATTTAGATAACAATAAAGGATTAAGAAACAATAAGGATATAAAAATTGGAACAATTTACATTGTTCAATTCATATTAACTTTATATTATGAAAAATTAATGCAAAATGTAAATTTTAAATATTTTTTTTAAAATAAAATGTTTGGGACATTTTGATAATGTTTGATTGTAATCAATATTCTTTCATGATTATAGAGGTGGAAGAGGATAATGGAAAGGACACTGGCTATAAAAAAAAAAAATGACTTAACCCTTTAGCATTCAACCTGCTCTGTAAAGATCTGCTCTGAACGTTCAACTCGCCCCATGTATACTCTCCCATAATATATGACATCATCGCAAGTAGTAAGACTGAGATTCAATATTTATGAGGTGAGTTTGAGTGTGTTGAATGCTGAAAGTTCAAGTGGCAATCCATGTTTGATCATCTAATCCTGCATATCTCATACCATATGTACCGCAAATGATGCTGTGGTTATAGCGTGTTGTAAGTCATCAGTATATTTAGTTTCTCATTCATTCTTACTTCAAAAGGATAAGGAAGCTTCTATTGTGGGCCTACACACAGTTGATATGGGTCACCTTTCTGAAATCTGTGACTACTTGGGAATGCATCTGCATGTGGAAGGATTGTAGAAATTTCTTAATTACATGCGCTAAACATCAGAACTTACTTTTGCTGAAAATTGGCACCCAGTTGGCTATCCTCATTGCAGTCAAAATATCAACTCATTCCACTGAAATGGTTATTGGAACATGAGCATGGTTTGCATGCTCCAGGAATAGTTTTCATCTTGGAAGCCAGTTATACTAGTAGCTATGTGGACTTGTCATTTAATAAGGAGAAACTTTTTTTTTTTTAACGAGCAGTGATGTGAAAAGTCATTTATGTGAATGAAGGAGGTCTAGGATGATTTCCTTCTAACCACCTGGTTGTCTACTTTATGCATCAGCTTAAGGTTAAGATTAGAATTGAAAGAGGCTGCCTTTTATAAAAGGAGGGCACAATATTGTGTTGTGCAATGACAGCCCTAGTGTTGCTGGCATTCCAGGCAACCTGAACTTTGGCACCTTTTACAAGTATAATTTTTTAAAATTTTCACAAGAAAAACTGATAAATGTAGAATAAGTTTATTACAATATACAACTTAATACAAGCTAAAATAGTCATTATTCTAGCCAAAATAATTTTTCTAGACTTTAGATCTGCAAATCTTTTCATTGCACTTTCTATACCTCTCTTCTTTACATGATCATTTTCTATTGATAAAAGAATTTAATGTCTTGAGTCATGGATGACTGCAAGTATATTTTTATAAGCTTTAGTTTTGGAAGATCCCAAACACATGATATGGCAGCATAATGGAACCCTGGGAGACTTGCCTAAGTTGCCAGTACCTCAAGCTGGCCCTGGTGTTGTATAAGAGAGCTTAGTGTGACATCAAATAGTGTTTTCTTAAAAGAAAACTATTTTATCTTCACTTAGTTGACAAACATATAGCCCACCCCCTACGCACACCCATTTCTCACCATCCTCCTTATTAAATTACAGAAGGTAAAGTTTTATGGCAATGTGGAAATATTTTGCTTACATTTTTTTTGTTTTTTCTTTCTGCATTTTCCCCACATCTTTGGCATTCAACTCAAAATGTCTAAACTATTATCTGTATACAACCATTTTGTCAGATCAATGATTAAAAATGGCTTCAAGCAAATGAATCCTTCAGGTCTTAAAAGGTAATCCTTCATTAGACCCTATAGACTGACACTGCAAAAATTCAAGAAAAGCTTTACCAAAATAACAAAAACCACATCACTTCCAACAAGAACAAACAGGTAACTAGAAGAGAAAAGATGCTGACTTTCCACACTACCTCAAACAAAAGCTTAGGAAGGAAACCCTCAGTACTAGAAAGTGGTAATAGTAGACTTAAGAAGCTTATTTTCCTGAAAAACTTAAGATTTTATAAATTTCCATCAACTAATTCTGCTTGGTCAACAAATGCTGAAATTTATTGACAAGCTTACTTTTCTGATTAAAGCAAGTTTCAAACTATCTTTTGAGGAAAAGTTTTAAATTACTTAATTTGTGTCAATTTTGCATCCCTATGAAAATGGAAGATATGGTGCATTTTAAACGCTTAAGCAAAAATGCCTTGCAAGCAACAACAACAAAAAAATTGTGCTGTGTACAGTGAGGGCGCTTTAGCTGAAAAAACTGTATGGATGTGATTTGCTAAGTTTAGATTTGGTGATTGTAGCCTTATTGATAAAGAATGTTTAGGTGGCCCCACCACCACTTATAGATAATAGTCAAATCAAGACATTGAGAATAACATGCATTATACAATGTGGGAATTGGCAGAAACACTTAATTTACCAAAATCCACCATCCATGAACATTTAGTGAAGCTTGGGTACTCAAATCGCTATGATGTTTGGGTACCACATGATCTGAGTGAAAAGAATCTTTTGGATTGCATTTCATCTGCAATTTGCTGTATAAACAATGAAAATGCTCCCTTTTTGAAGCAAATTGTGACAGGTGATGAGAAATGGACCATTTACAATGATATTCAGTGAAAAAGATCCTGGGGCAAGTGACATGAACCAACTTTAGCTAACAAAATGCAAGTCTTCATCCTAAGAAAGTCATGCCGTGCATCTGGTAGGATTGGAAAGTTATCCTGTACTATGAGCTTCTGCCAAGTAAACAGATTCTCAAAAGTACTGCTCGCAGCTGGATGAATTAAAGCCAGCTATTCAAAAAAAAAAAAAATTACCAGAATTGACAAACGAGAAAAGTGTTGTTTTCTATCAGGATAGTGCTAGACCTTGTGTTTCTTTGGCGACCTCTTATCCCACCTGCCATATTCACCATGCTTTGTTCCTTCAGATTTTCATTTATTCAGGTCCTTGCAAAATAATCTCAATTATAACAATTTTAAATTTTTGGATGACAAAAAAAAAAAACACCTTAATGAGTTCTTTGCTGAGAAACCACCGAAATTCTGGGAAGATGGAATTTTTAAGTTGAAGGAAAAATGGAGAAAAGTCGTGCAACAAAAGGGTTCATATTTAGTTGAATAAATATTTAATGGCATAATTTGGTTTATTAATTTCCCTTAAGAATCAGCATGAACTTTCTGGACAACCCAATATATCAGACTGGGTGAGTGGACATGCTAATGCATTCTTATAAATGAATTTTGTTTATTTAAATCATCAGGGTAAAATTTTAAATTGATTAATTTTTTTTTTTTAATTCCCCTCTTTATATGTAATTGTAAATATAGGTTTATTTATAATTTATATAGTGAGAATGTAACTTTTTGGTAATTGTTGCCTGAAAGATTTCAAAATAAATGATCTTATTATGACAGGAGCAATGACATCTTACTCTTCTCCCAAATTTTTAATCACATGCCATATTTCTTTTGTATTTATACAAAGTAAATATTCTGGTTATTGAAAATTTTATGAATGTATGTTGTCATGGCTTCTGCATATATTCAGACTTGGTGTTTCAATCACAAAATGGGAAAATTGGCTTTTGAACTGTTCACTGGTACTAAATTAGTTAATAATATGTGCACTTTTGGTACAATTTGTTTTGTATACAAAAGTAAAAAAGCTGTTCTGGTGGACTATGACAAAAATACCATAGATATTTTCTAAAAAGGAAATAAATTAAAAAGGTAAGTTGTGAATGGTGTCACATGATAAAATAAAGGTAAGATTCTAAAGCAGTAATTCTCAACTGGAGACCATACAAAAAATAAATAAATAAATAGTAAATTGGGGTCCATGGTAATATTTTAGTGGTTCATAGAGTAATTTCACTATGGAATGGTTGTTACAACTGAGAATTGAAATTTCTAAATTAATCTATGCCATATGGAAATACTAAAAATAGAAAAACAAGCAGAAAACAAGATCAAGCAATGTAAGTTTAGCATTCCTTTTAGTCTACCAGATGTTTTGATTGTAAAAGTTGAATAAAAACTGAGAAGTATATAGATAGGAAGCATTATATAAACATATTATATAAATTAATTTAATATAATAATATTAATAAAATATTAATATAAATTAATATAGTAATGAACTCAACATTGTGAAAAGGGGTGATCAACTATCATTGACATTGATCGAGCTGAATATAAAAAAGTTGCAGAGCAGCATCAACCACAGGTATCTCATTAAATAAATCTGCACTTTTTTAAAATTTATTAATTACTCACATATTTTAAAATGGCTATTTATGAGTTATTTTACTAGTGTACATAAATGTTCCATAGAATTTTGTTGTTAAATACAAGTTTATTTTTATTAAATTAGTTATTTTTTCATTGAATGGTTATGGGAGTCCATGAAAAAAAATTAAGAGTAAAAGTGGTCTGTGGGTAAAAAAAAAAGGTTGAGAACCACTCTAGGCCATGTTAGAGATTAATGTCTAAGTCACCGAGAAACATGCTGGTGAAAAACTCCAGGACATGGAAAATTATATCAGATTCAAAGTTTCAACAGGAAAGAAGTACAAGAAATTTGGAAGAAAATTTTCAATAGTATCTCAATGTACATTCAGAATTAAAGACACTCTGGGTAGAATCTCAAACACAATATGGCACAAGCACCAAAATATTTTTTTCCTAAGAGTCTTCTATTAAATTACCACCTGAAAATGCTTCATGAAAGAATGAATAAATCAACAAATACTAAAATGTTTAAAAGAAAGTAACATTTATTAACAATTTCCAAATCATCCAGGTTTTAAATATTGCACAATTTATGGCCACCCCAATGTTTATTTCTGCCTTAATAAAACACAAACAATTCAAAACTATCACATTGGAGGATTTGCATTAGTGCTGTACTTATTATAACTTTAATTAATATACAGCAAACAGAAGT